CAAGAGCTATAGATGCTTGAATTATGAGGACACTACCATCATCCTCTCTTTGAGTNGGAGAAGAGGAAGGAGCAGCTAATGGAGAAGGAGTAGCTAATGAAGAGGTTGGAGTAGAGGAAGGAGTAGCTAATGAAGAGGATGATGAAGAGGAAGGAGTAGCTAATGAAGAGGATGATGGAGAGGAAGGAGTAGCTAAAGATGAAGGAACAACTTCTGGAGAAGAAAGAGTAGCTGTTGGAGATGAAGATGGAAGAGTTGACTCAGAAGGAGAGAAGGGTGAAGATGAAATCAAAAATGGAGATCTGTTTAAAAAAGATAAGGGAGAGAGTTACAAAACATATTAGTTATAAGTATTATATACCTGTATATTGATGATGATGAAATAAGTGTAGAAGACATTGTTGGTTCTACTGAAGGTAGAGCACATGATGATACTTCAGTTTCATTACAATATTCAGGTGAATTGGATCTCAGTAACTGTATTGTGTTCTCTTGAGATAATAGGACACTCTCAGTAGTAATATTCCCTACAAAATAATTAATTAATATTAAAATACATAATGTACACTTACTGAATATCCAACCAATTAACGGTCTTACTCCTCTCATCACTTTGGCATCACATAAAGAAAGATTACACATTCGTCCTGTTAGATTCTCCCAATAATAAATATCAATATCTTCTGCTGTGTCTTCATACAATAGACTTAACTGATTAACTGCATTTGAATCAATGTATACTCCTACTATATAGCCTGGACGTACTGGAAGAAGTGCTTGATTAGATGATGCTACTACATTAATTTCTATTGTACTGCCAGTAGCTGATTCACCACCATCTCCATACGTATTACCATATACAAGACTGTAGACATTACTTTTAACAGGATCTGGTTTTAATACTTGAAACTCAATTCCACTCCCAACAGTAACTGATGTATTACCAATGACAAGAGCAAACCAATCATCAATAACTCCTTGACAAGAGAAGGTCCATGAAGGAATGAGTAATTGTACTCCACCAGTGAACAATCCACCACTAAGACTATTTAGTGCTAGGGAATGGGAGCAGACATTAGCAAGCGTGGTTTTATTAATAATTGTAGAACAGAGAAGAAGAAATAGAAACATTGCTAAGCAAGTTTGTGGCTTTGTACATGGTTGGTTTGTGGGGGCATAGATATTTGAGTACAGGAAATGCTCTAATACTGTACTCTAATATCTATGGTGGGCGTTGAGAGTATGAACCCACCCTACACTCCAATCATAAAAATTAAAATATTTATTTTTAATAAACAATGAAAAAACTTAAACCATAAAAACTACAATGTATCAGTGTCCTCATATATAGGACCATATTCATTCCATTTTGAATTGTTATTAGCAACATTCCCATAAGTATGGAGCTTAGTCTTGATAGCATGAGGTGGGTCAGGCTGAAAATAAAATTTATTGCCATCAATCAATGTTACATTGTGTTACATCTATATTATGTTTTTATTTAGAACCCCTATTAAAATTGAGCTAGGAAAAGTAACCGACTTGTATAAGTGCCCATTTGTCAAGTTATCATAAAATTTAATATAAGCCACTGAAGCATAAAATGCTAGTACATAACCTTCCTGGACTATCAACTGTGGATCTGCTGTAATATTGAGACAGTCACTACGCTGGAGCTGCAAGTGAATATAATTGGGACCT